GAGGATGGTGGCAGTGGTGGTGAAGTTGGAGAGGGTAGCTGTGACACCCTGCCTGGCACACTGGGTATTGTGCCTCCTGCCACTTTCAAACTCATCTGCCCCACTTGCAGGGGCTGGAAGATAGTTGTCCTTCGAGGTTTGGAACCTGCTTTTACCTGTTCTGCAGTCCAGGCTCCTCCTTCTAGTCCTGGTTATCTGTGACTATCTGCGATAGTCACCACAAAACCCACTGGCTTCTGCCATGATGTGACCAACACGACACAGCTATGCTGGTTTATCCACCAGTATGCATGTTGGGCTCAGCAGACAGTCTCCTGGGCCTCCCCAACATCCTCTCCTCACTCTGGGACGGGGTCCCTGTGAGGGCAAGGTAGAAGGGGCCCTCATACTGCATGCCCAGACAAGCTGTCCTCCAGGGAGGGGGTGGGACCCGCCTCTGTGGGGCAGTGATGCTGCCGCCTTCGGGCATAACACGTGTGACACACAGGCCTTGCGCCGTGCTCTCCTGAGCAGGCTTGGTCCATTTGTCCTCCTTTTTGCTCCAGCTAGTGACCTTTCCTCCAAGGATTGGTTACATCAGAACCAGTCATCCTTTCTGCACCCCCCAAACGCCCCACTGGCTCTGAGCCTCCTCTGCCCCTCCCACAGCCCCGGTGTAAACTGCCCTCTCCTGTGAGGTGGCCCCTCAGCTGGCAGGGAGCTGTGGCGGCTCCTGGACTTGGCATATGCAGCCGAGGGCGCAAAGCTACTCAGCTGCCCCGCCTTCCTGTGTGGTCCTGGCAAGCGCAAGCCTCTCTGGGCCCCATCTTCCTCCTGTGTACCATGCCTGAAGCTCTCAGGGTGAAACCACAAAGCCCGATGGACAGCTGCTGTCCCGGCACCCCTGTGGAGGGGGCCGGATGTGCTGCCTGCGCGGCGTTCAAGAGGGATGCTGGCATCTGGCCCAGCCTGGGGCCACCTGTGGTCACTTCCCTTCTCCACTGCACTTTCTCCTCTGAGGTGTGGAAGAAGGGCCCTGGGGTGCCCGGACCAGTGATGGGGCACTCAGTTATATAGCTGTTGGCACAGTTCTGACCCACGACCACCTTAAACTTGGCACTGGCTGATGATACTCGGAAGCCGAGTGGTCACCAAATTGTTCCCCACAGCTGCTCTTTGTGGAGCTGTGTCAGTGTCCAGTGTCTGGGTTCTCTCCAGGACCAGCAGACGGGCATGGGAGAAGAGTGGGTTTTCCTCAGGGGCGCCTGCTGGATGGGTGAACCAGGCTGCTGCTTAGAAAAGGGCATGGATTGGTGGGCTACGACTTTGGGGCCCTCCTCCCCATAGTGCCCCTTCATGTTTTCTCAGGTCCCTGACCATCCTGTGCCCCAGGCATCTGCCTGCCTTGCCTCTGCCCATCCCGCCTGCCAGCCAGACCTCTCCCTCCCGCCTGGCGCCCTTCCCCTCCATGAGTCCAGCCTCCCTGCAGGGTGGACGGCTCAGGAGGCCCCCATGGGGTGCAGGGAACAGGGAGGGACCTGGCCCATTCGACCTTAAAATAAATCAGAACTTTTGTTGTCTGTACAAAGGGATTCCACAGTTTATTTTAAGTGATTTGGGGAAGTCCAGAAAAGTATAAAGAGAAAAGGGCCAAACTGCTTGCTGTTTTAAGCACTCCTAGGAACTGAGCTCTGTGTGCATAGCTGCTTGGCCTTACAATCTGTAGATGCAAGACTGCGACCTGAGGGTTAGAAGCCTTCCTGACACACATACTGTTGGGGAGGCACAGTCCCTGCAACCCGCCTACAAGAGAGGTTATCACCCCGGCCTTGCTGGTTATTTCTGTAGCTGTTGTTTTCTTCTCAGATTTTTGGGTAATTTCCCAGATAAATTCTTAGTGGACCCACAAAAAGCTTTAACTTAGGGATCAGAAAAATCAAAAAGTTATTTCTGTGATTCTCCTCTTTGAGGATGGTGATGGCAGCATGACTAAGTGCTTGGTGTGCCAGAGCTCATAGTGGGGTCCCTGGGTCCCCCAGACACTCTGGCTGTCCCTTCTGTACACAGTCACAGGCAGCAACAGGAGGAACGGGGGAGGGAAGTTTGGTCTTCAGAAGTCAGGGGCCCTTGTCAGATTTGGGGCACAGAGTTGGGGACACAAGGCTGGCATCATGAACCCACTTGCTGGGTGAGCAAACTGAGACTGGCAAGCCCAGGTCACCGTGCAGAGCAGGCCAGGACTGAGGGTGCTTCACCTGCCTCGCCTTTATCAGTGCAGAGCATTGCCACTCACTGTGCTTGCTCTTGGGTCCTTTATCAGATACAGGCGAGCTGAGCTGCCGGCTTAACACCCCCTTGTCTCTTCATGGCCCCTAAAGCGGTGGGTCCCAGGCACTAGCCGAGCACTGTCTGTCCAGCCGAGTCACCTCCGTTCATGGGGAAAGGCTGTGAGCCTTTGCCGCATTTGTTGCACTTACTTTTCATATTTGTATTTTCAAATTGTTTCCATGATTTGGAGCACTGTTTTAATCTGCCAGAGCTCGCCCAGCTTCCCTTCCAATCCTTGGTTTGCCGAGGAGGGCACTGGGCACCATGGGAACAGACAAGCCCACCCTCGCCTCTGCTCTTACTCATTAAGCCACGTGGCTTATGTTCCGAGATGACGAGCAAGCTTTGCATTGTCCAGACACATTGGCCAGGCCTTTCTGGGCTCAGACCCTGTCCCAGCAGTGGCTGTAGGTGACCATGTCCCTTGGGTCGTTGGTGGCCTGTGGCGGTCCTGTCTGTTGTTATTCACACTGGCTGATGCAGGGGTTGAGGGTGGTCGGTCCCCAGGGAGCAGTGGGTGCCCTGCCTGTGTGCGGCCTCCAGCCTCCCTGCTTTGTCGTTGGGCACCCTACCTCACCTCCACACTGCGGAGTGCAGAAGTCCAGGCACACCCTCATGTGTGTGCGTCCACAGGGGGTGAACCCTCCAGGTGTGCTGGCTGTGAGGGGATGTGTCCCTCGGGCCAGTCACCCTCTTACACCTTTTTTTTTTTTTTTAAAGATTTGTTCATACAGAACTGGGGTACAGGCCAGTGGCTCAGGGGCGGCGAGAGGCTTCACCAGAGACAGAGTGGGGAGCAGAACAGGCAGATCCACGAAGTACACTGCTGGGGGGAGCAGCGGGCGGGTCAGGAGAGGTCTGCCACGCCATGTGGTCACCTCCGGGGCAGGCGGGGATCGAACTCATGCGGAAGTGGCTTTAGCGGCTCAGTGTTGTGCTTTAACCGCTGCGCCACCAGAGAGGGCCCTCTTTCACCTTTTTAACTGAGATAAAATTTACATACACAGAAACTTAACCATTTAAAAGTGAACAATTCACTGGCATTCAATACAGTCACAGCATGGTGCAATCATCACCTCCATCTCTTGAGTCGTTCCAGACTATTTCCTGGCTACGAGAAGCCCCCCAAAGAGTAACAGCTCAGTTCTCTCCCTGCCTCTGCACTGCCGTCAGCTCTCTCTGGCGCTTCCCTCTCCGCACCGCACGTGTCTGGCCTCTCCCGCAGCATTGCGTGTTCAGGCCCATTCGTGTGGGAGCATCTGACTGTGCCTCATTCTCTCTTATGGCTGTGTGAGAGCCCGGTGTGTGGATGGCACCTGTGGCCTACCCGCTGTTCAGGGGATGAGCACTGGGGTTGCTTCCGTGTTTGTTACCGTGAATGCTGCTGCTCTGAGCGTTTGTGTACCAAGATTCGTTTGCTGCTCTCAGACTCTTGGGTCGCTCTCTAAGAGTGGGGCTGCTGGCTTATATGGTAATTCTGTGTTTAACTCCTTGAGCAACAGCCATTCTGTTGTCGGGGGCAACTGCCATCTGATGTTCCTTGCGGTCATGTAAGATTGTGTGGTTTCTCTACATCATCCCCACACCTGATACTTTTCTCTTTAAAATTCGATTGTCCTGGGCCCTCCCTGGTGGCGCAGCGGGTTAAAGCACTGCACTGAGAAGCTAAAGCCACTTCCGCATGAGTTCGATTCCCGCCTGCCCCGGAGGTGACCACATGGCGTGGCAGACCTCTCCTGACCCGCCCGCTCCTCCCCTCAGCAGTGTACTTCCTTGATCTGCTTGTTCTGTTCCCAGCTCTGTCTCTGGTGAAGCCTCTTACCGCCCCTGAGCCTCTGGCCTGTACCCCAGTTCTGTATGCACAAATAAATAAATCTTTAAAAAAAATTTTTATTGTCCTGTGAGTATGAGGTAGTAGGTCATGGTTTTCATTTACATTTCAATGATGCCCTAATGTTGAGGGCCTTTTCCTGGGCATGTTTATCATTTGACTGCTTGTTTATCTTTGGAGAAATGTCTGCTCAAGTCCTTTGCTCATTTTTACACTGTATTTGTTTTTTGCTTTAGTGGTTGAGTTGTAAAGCTCTTTATATATTCTGGAGGCTTGACCACTAGTAGGTGCATTATTTGCAGATATTTTCTCTTATCCTGTATGTTGTCTTTTCTCTTTATGGATAGTGTCCTTTACTGCACACAAGTTTTGCGTTCCTTTAAGGACCAATATATCTGTTGTTGCTTGTGCTTTTGGTGTCATATCTAAGAATCCATGATCAAATCCATGGAGAGGAAGATTTACCCCTGTGTTTTCTTCTGAGTATAATTTTAACTCATATTTAGGTTATTAATCCATTTTTAGCTAATTTTTGATTAGGGTATGAGGTCGGGGTTCAACTCCACTCTTGCTATGTAGTTGTTCCAGCACCAAGGTGTTGCCTCTGGGGTGGGTGACTTCCAACGGCCCCCCCGTGGGGTCCAGAGGGGCTCTGAACTGCTCCTGACTCCAAGACTGCCCCCAGCCTGCCTGGGTCTGCGATGAGGGCTCTCACAGAGGCAGCCCCACAGGAGGCTGGCTCCCCCATTCTCGGGGTCACTTCCTCACACAATCTACCCCCAGCCCCCGGCCACTGTCCTGAGCAGTGAATGGGCCACCAGAGGTATGTTGGATGCTGGTGACACCTGCATTTCATGCATTTCAGCTGTGTTGGTGTGGAAGAGGAAGAAGCCCCAGACATCGACATATACCACTGCCCGAACTGCGAGAAAACCCACGGGAAGTCCACCTGTGAGTATACAGAGCCGATGCCTCTGCACTGACTCTGGCGGCGGCAACTCTGCTTGGCCCCGACCCTGGCCCTGCCCCAGGCTAGCTTCCCAGGTGCTGGCCTGTTACTGCCCCTTACGGTTTCTCTGTGATCACTATGATGTGTTCCTGCCTAAGATGCAGTAGCGGCCACTCATGGGCCCTGTGTGGACACTAACTCCAGGGCCTGCTGAGACGGGGATACTTACTGGAGGTTGGGTTAAGGGGTGATGCTGGGCCAACCAGGTGACCTGCCTGAGCAGCCCAGCTGGCACTACCTCGAGGGAGTCTGGGAATGCGCTCCCTCTCCCTTCTCCAGACCACCCCCTCACACTAGCAAGGTGTCAGGTGACTCCTTTTCTCAAACTGCCTGCTCCATGCACCTCCAGAGGGCTTTATTCCTCTTCTCTAGACTATTGGGGGTGTGGCAGGTCCTATGGGGACTCCCCACTGTGCAGATTTATCCTCGGGGTGGCTCGGTGGCTCACGGGGAGGAGAGCTTCACAGGGAGGAGAGCCTCACGGGGAGGAGAGCCTCACGGGGAGGAGAGCTTCACAGGGAGGAGAGCCTCACGGGGAGGAGAGCCGATGGCAGGTAGGAGGTGATGTAATCTTTGAGCTCCAAGGCTGAGTGCACAGGGGCTGTAGGACCTTGGAAAGGACTCATGTGGAGTCAAGACGAGTGGCACAGGGGTGCTGCGGTGGGGGTTGTTAATGTGGCCTCTGTTTCTGGCTAGCAAGATGTTCAGCTGCGAGCTAGACACTGCCATCCTGAGCCCTGTGCTGGCTGGTGAGGTTGAGGGAGGACCCTTACCACTCCTGGCTCCCCTCCTGGGTCTCAGTCGTATATGTCCATCGAATATGTCCTATGGATCCAGCAAGAGCAGAAGGAAGACACTGGCACTGGCGAGCACCCCGTTCTGTTGCCCTTGGGAAGTTGAACGCTGGGCAGGGAGCTGTGCTAGGCTGTGCCCCATGGTCCACATTCCCTGGCACCCATGTTGCTGCCACAGTAGCACACTGCCAGTGGCAGGTGTGTCAGTCGGGGACAAGGCCTGAAGCTCCTGGCCTTCTCAAGCGGGAGGTCCTGAGGTTCCCGATTCACAGCGGACTCGTCTCAGAACATATTTTCCCCAGTTGCTCTGGGCACTGCAAAAACCTCCAGGGCACTCTGCCCATATGCCTGGGGAACTGGAGAGTGCAAGGTTGGAGCCTGGAAACCCTTCCTGGTCCCCTATGGCCGAGGACACTCAAAAGGCGCTGTCTTGGGGAGCCTCAGGGAGGATGTGTTTTGGGGGCTCTCGTGTGCATCAGGTCAGGCTACCTGGGGTGCTGAGCTGAGCACTGTGTCTGCCTGCAATCCCAGTATGCAATCCCAGAAGAACCCTCCCCGGCAATGACAGTCCTCTGCCTGCTTCTGCCAGAGACACTTGTGCCTGCCTTACCCAGACCCTGCCCTGTGCTGGGGGTTGGGCAGAGGCTATGGGCCACAGCTGCCCTGAGCGCCCCTAGAAGCCCAAGGAAGATGCCTGTCTCCCTACCTACAGCCAGCTTCCCAGGGAGCAAGGGACTGCCTGGCAGAACAGGCATGTTTGTACATGCGTGTGTAGTTTATGCATCCATGAATCTGATTTTTGGGTCATTACTGAGGTTTGTGTACCTACCAGGGATAAACGGGCAGGGTTCTAGTACCTTCCGCTAGCACGTATGCCCACATTGCACACAGCAGTTCTTATTTGAAATGAAGCCTCCATCATGTTTTTGCCTCATCGACTCGTCACACCTTCCGTAGTGAGGCTTATGTACCACCTCATGCCTCCAGGGAACCCCGGGCCCATGAGCCTCACTAGGGGTTCATTTCCTTTTCTTGCCCAGCATGGATGGGGCTTGCAGCTTGGCAAGGCGGAGATGACAAGCGGATCAGGACGGAGCGGGAAGGCATGAGCGAGCTGCTCTGAGGCCACTTCCCTCCCACTTGGCCTTGTTTTAGAGGCCCTGGGGCCCTCCAGGTGCTCCTGCCTTATGACCCTTGACCTCATTTTGCTCTGGGCACACAGATTTATCTGATTCAGATTTGGTGAAGAGCTTAGGGGCCCCAATGTGAATTCATAAGGAGTCCCCATTCGACACGAAGACCCCCAGGAAGTAGGTAGCTCATTAGCTCTGAGACTGCTTAAGAGGTCACTTCACATACTGACTTCTCACTTTCCTCCTCCCTGAGGCCCTCAAGATCCCTGCGAGGTTAGGGTGAGTCAGGAGGTGGGCAGACTCGGTACCTGCCACCTGCAGGACAGCTGTCATCTCCATTCCTCTGATGCCTGTGGAGACATCCAGGCGTCCCACTGGCAGCCAGCCCCGGCACGCTGATCCATTCTCCAGGCTCTGGGCCCTGGGGAGGAAGACCCACCAGCCAGGTCTGAGGGTTTGGGGAAGCCCTGGAGCTCAGACCCTGTGTCTCTACTCGGTTTCTGACTGTTGTCAATGCCAGTGCTCCAGTTACATTTTTGGCTGCGTTCTGGCCTCTTCCCAAGGTGTCCGGAGCTGCCCAGTTTCAAGCGAGGCCCCGGAAAGACCATCTGTTCTGGGTCTCCTGCCAAGCCTAGTTAGCACCTGCTTTTCAGCCTGTACCCCCCATGAACGTGTGGAGGTGTTGCTGCTTCCTCCTAGTGCACTACATCTCCAAACCCACTGTTGTGACCACACCCCACATCCAGTGTACTTCAACAATGTGTGTGTCCCCCGAGATTCAGTTTTCCCATTGCCACTTGGGGCAAAGTCCTGCATGCAGACTGCTTGTATCCTTGTGCTCCTCTGTATGCTCCCCAGGGAAACTGGCTTCACCCCAGTCTACTCCCTGGAAGTGGGGTTTGCCCAAGACAGCCTATTCAGTATCCTCAAACCTCACCGAGAAGACACCACTGGGGAGGATGGGGGGTGCCCCGACCCTGCTGGCCTAGGGGGCCCGTGGAAGATCCTCTTCCCAATACCTCTCTTTTCCCTCTGCTCCTCTGTCACTCCCCCACTGCACTGGGGTCACAAGTCTCTTCCCAGCCAGGCAGTGGCCTCTTTTGTCTGCTAGAGTGTGTCCTGGGCTTCCTTTCCCATCCCCTCTTGAAACCCTGGCGTTTCCTGGGTCCCTTCTAAATGGTGACCCCCAGGAACCTCTTAGCATCAGAAAGGGAGGTGCCCCTTTCTGTGCAGACATGCACGCAACCTCCATTTCTCCAGGCCCTTTCCAGGGGCAGCACCTTGTAGGTATGCCCCAGAGCTGCTCTGGGTGTAGCCACACATCTAGCGGGGGGACCACGATGCTAGGCCTGCTTCAGGCTCAGGAGTGAGGCCTGAGCTGCACTGAGCTGAAGTCCGTCTTCCCTCCCAGGAGCTCTGGGGGGGCCATCCACCCCCAGACATCTCCCGCGTTCGGTTTAAGCTGGGTCATGCAGGGGGATACAGGGAAGAGCTGTGGTCTGGGTAGGCACGGAGCCCTGTAGACAAGCCTCAAGGAGCCCTGGGTGCTGGGACCAGCATCTCTCTAGAAAAGGCGGGCATAGAGATGCTCAGTAACTTGCCCAAGGTCGCACAGTTACAAGGTGGTGGGGCATGAAGACGAGGGCAGATGACCCAAGCCATGTAAACCCCCCCCCCGCCCTCTGCCCCATCGGTGCCTGGTACTGCCACTGGAGGTCCCAGCTTGGGATTCTCCCTCTGTGGGATCAGGTCAAGCTTCCATACATCAGGAAGGCCAGGTGCAACATAATGTGACACCGTTTTTGGAGATGGTCTCAAGGGTCATGACATGACCGGAGACAGGCAGGGGGCCAATCAACCAGAGAGATGAGTCACAGTCCCTGCCACCCAGCACCTCCCCTGCCTGGGGAAGCTTGAGGGGCAGCTGGCACTATGCTTTAGCCCTCAGTCCCACCTCTAGCAGGTGAGGGAGAAGGAGTCCAGGTTCTTGTCCTGCAGGCCTCCCCCATCTCACCCTTGATGGGCGCCCAAGACCTCACTGGTCCCTCTGCACATCCAGTCTAATTTCTGCTCACCTGCCACCTGGCCACAGAGCAGCCATGCTCCACGGGAGGGCTCCTGTCCTCACTCATCTGATGTTTCCCGAGAGGAGGTCAGGGGCCAAGGAAATCACTTCCCACCCTCCAGGGGCGTGCAGTCCAATGCACGCGTGTGCATCCCGCTCCTTGGGCATGTGTGTGCACACGTGCCGCGTGCTCACAGGCGTCACAGCGCACGGGGGCGTGTCTGCATGTGCGTGCACATGTGTGTTTGTGTGCCAGCTTGTGTTTCATAGCCCAGTAAAGGTGTGTGTGCACAGTATGTAGAAAGTCCACGGTGGGCACTCCCAGTGCCCTTGGGAAGAGGTGTGAAGATAAGGCAGCCTGAGGGAGCAGCCGGTAGAGCCCAGCGGCATTCGAGGGTGTGAGGTGCAGCACCCCAGTGGGGCAAGAGGGCAGAAGGCACAGCAGGTGGCAGACAGGCTGTTGTGAGCCCAGGCTGTCCATGCAGCTGGGTCCCAGCAGGAGGGTCTGCACCCAGCAGGGGGCAAGGCCAGGGGAGGAGGGGTCCCGAGCAGCGAGGCTGCCCCCAGAGGTGCCTCCGATGGCTCAGCAGAGTGTGTGTTGAGTGAAGGGCCCCAGGTTCTGGGCACCATCATCCGAGCCAGAGCAGCAGAGTAGTGGGTGGGTGGGCCGTGACAGGAGGCTGGGGAGTTGGTGGCTGCTGATGGTGTGATGAGCAGGGTCATGGGGTGGCAGCGCCTGAGGACCCTTTCTTTGCTCTGGAAGGTTTTGGCTTCAAGGCATTTACTCCTCAACTGGCCTCCTGCTGGATCCCCTGGGCTGGGTGCCTAAAGCCTTGGGGAGGGGGCTGCTGGGGAAGGGGTTGCAGGTGACAACCTGCCTCCTGTTCCCCAACCCACACACAGTGAAGAAGAAGCGGACCTGGCACAAGCACAGCCCAGGGCAGACTCCTGACGTCAAGCCGGTGCAGAACGGCAGCCAGCTCTTCATCAAGGAGCTGAGGAGCAGGACCTTTCCCAGGTGGGTCCCCCTTCTCCCCACCCAGTCCCAGGCTCACCCCTCCCTGGGTCCAGACTGTGGATTTCCATCCAGGGAAATTGCAGGCTGCCCAGCTTCCCCAAACCCCAGGCAGTTTCCTGTGGTTGACTTTCTTGCACCTCCCAGACAGCCCCAGCTATCCTCCTGGGGTGCAGGGTGGAGAGGGACCTTCTCCCTGCCTGGTGTGGACTTCCCAGAGTCTTTCTGGGGGAAGGGAGTGGCTTCATTTTGTGGGTGGGGAGGGGGCAGTGGAGGCAGGTGTCCTCCCTCCGACATGGCAGGACCCATGGCCACCGGCTCTCCTCTGGTCTAGCTGGTGTCCTAAACCGCCCTCACCCAAGGGCTCAGCCAGGCTGACCAGTGGTTTCTGGTGAGAAGGGACAGTGGACCCTGGGGCTGGCCGGCAGCCAGGAGCGCTTGGAATTGCCCTCGGCCATTCATAATAGGATAGGTGCTGTTTGACAATCTTATTTCTCTTCCACGTTTGAATGACAATTCATCAGACACTGAATTCTACAGAGAATTTACAGAGAAAATTTTTTTCTTTTAACTTTAAACATTTCACCCCATTTTCTTCTTGCTTGTGTGATTTCTGATGAAAAATTCAAAGCAACTCATAGCCTGTTTCTGTGTGGATCTTTCCTCTGGCTTCTTTCGCTCTTTTCTTTTATTGAGACATTTTTCTGGTTTCATACAGTTCTCCCATTTAATAGGTACAGGCCAGTGATTTTTGGTGTATTCAAAGATGTGGGAACCACCACCAGTTAATTTTAGGACATTGTCATCACCCCAAAGAACCTGGTGCCTTTATGACCTCATTCTGTGCCTCCCCTAGCCCTCAGGAGCACTGGTCTGCTTTCTGTCTTTGCAGACTTGCCTATTCTAGACATTTCATCTAACAGGAATCATGATATGAGGTCTTTGTATCTGGCTTCTCTCAATCAGCATCATGTCCTCGGACTTCATCCATGTGGTGGGCTGATTCCTTACTGTGCCACTGTGACCAGATCACATTGTGTTTGTCATGGCACCGAGGCACTGAAGTCCAGCTGATTTGCAGCAACCGTGTTACGGGTGTGTTATGGCTCACATGTTTCAGTGGTCTTGTTACAGTTCTGTTACAGCAGTAGCACTTGATTTCCAACTTGACATGCTAGTTCAAGGGTTTAAGACCACAGTTCAGGGCATATAGGCTCAAGAAGCACTTGAGCTGTATGTCTAAGCTGCTGGGGTAAGAGGAGTGTGCTTATCTAGGCAAAAAGAAAACTGGGGAGCGCTACTCCTTAGACCTCCGCTTTATGCAAATAGGGCTTTTAGCCAGTGCAGTTCTGATGGAAAGTGTGTCGAGCACTGATCGGACTGATAGAATCTCAGTCTGTGCCTGGCTGGTATCTTTTTCTTTTTCTCCGTGCTGGGTCTGTGTACGCCTGTGCGTGCCCAGCATACTGGGCCTGGGGCCCGGCCCTCAGTACTCTCCCAGGTGCAGACTGCGTAATTGCGTGTTCATTTTTCTTTTCTTTTCCTTTTTTTAAACTAATATAAATAATTCTACCATAAACAAGTCCTTTTTGGCTATTGTGGATCTTCCTTGGAGAAATGTCTGTTCAGGTCCTTGGCCTGCGGCATTATTTATTTGTCTGTTGAGTTGTAAGTGTCCTTTCTATATTTCAGATACATGTCCTTTTTCAGGTATATGACTTACAAATACTTTCTCCCCATTTGTGAGTTGTCTTTTCACTTTATGGGTAATGCTCTTTGAAGTACAAAAGTTTTTAATTTGGGTGAAGTCCAATCTGACCTGTTTTGTGAAGATTTGTCATTTTCTTCTAAGAGCTTGATAGTTTGAGCTCTTATGGTTTGGTCTTTGATGCAATTTAATTTTTGCATGTAGTGTGAAATAAGGACCTGACAACTTCCCGTTTTTTGTTGTTGTGTGCAGCTGTTAGTCTTCCTAGCATCTTTTGAAAACAAAATTCTTTCACCATTCCATGGTCTTGGCACCCTTGTTGAAAATCATTTATTTCTGGACACTCAATTCTGTTCCACTGATCTCAGTCTGTCCTCAGGCCAGAACCACACTATCTTGATCACTGTACTTTGCAGTAAATTTTGGAATCAGGAAATGAGACTGCCAACTTTATTCTTCTTTCCCAAAGTTGTTTTGGTCATTCTAGGTTCCTTGCATTTCTGTGAGAATTTTAGGATCAGGTTGTCAGTTTCTTCAAAGGTTGCAGCTGAGATGCTATTGGGAATTGTGTGGAATCTACAGATCTTAATGTTAAGTCTTCCAACCCATGCACATGGGATATTTTCTCAATTTTTGAGATCCAAAAAATTTCTTTCAATAATATTTTATCATTTTTAGAGTATAAGTTTTCCACTACTTCTGATAAATGTATTCCTGGGTAGTTTATTTATTTACTTCTTTTTTGGTGCTTAGTAAATGACCTAGAATTGTTTTCTTAGTTTTTCCAGCATGTTCATTGCTACTGTACCAGAATGCTATTGATTTGTTGTATATTGATCTTGTATCCTGCAACTCTGGGAACTAATTTATTAGTTTGTTTTTTTTTTTTCAATCTTTTTAAAGACTGTTCTGGCTATCTGGGTGTCTTGAATTTTTGTTTAGCATTCCAAATTCAATCTAAGTACCCCCTGGCAGATCCAAGGGGAACACAGTTGGTAGATAAAGAAAGTGTGGTATATATACATAATGGAATACTCTACCACTATTTCAGTTAGCCAAGGGCGACTCTGTGCCCATCACCCATGGCATCTGCAGTTGGCTGCACTGTGTCCACATGCCCAGAGCTCCCACAGTTGCCTGAATGGTGCATCTTTCTCAGCTTCCCCTCCTGCCTTTCGGTGTCCTCAATACCATCATGGAGTCAAAGCCAAAGGATACTCCAGTCATCCTTGCTCTGCTTATCCAGGGGGTGGGTTCTCCCTGAAAAGGGGTTTGTCTTCCTCTGCTTTATCCTTTATCCTTAGGCCAGGCCACCTGAGCAGGGTCCCATCTCTGAGCACGGAGCGGGGAGGGATCTTGCCCAGGGCTGCTGGCCTGTCTGCCATGGAAGCAGGGACACCAGTGTGTCCTTGTCCTACTCACCATGGTCAGAGCAGTTGCCTGGAAGTTCTGTCTGTGGGAGTGCAGGACCCTGCTATGTCTGCCCTGCAGGCTGCCCCAGGACTCCGGTGGCACTGCAGGGGGTTTGTCTCCTGGGGCTGTGTGAGCTGGTGGAGGGAGCAGCAGGCCCTGGGGACCTGTCCAGGCCAGTCATGGTTGGGGAGCTGGCACTGGTCCAACGTCACCTCCAACTTGTGCTGCCCCCACAGCGCAGAGGACGTAGTGGCCCGAGTACCAGGCAGCCAGCTCACACTGGGCTACATGGAGGAGCATGGCTTCACAGAGCCCATTCTTGTCCCCAAGAAAGATGGACTGGGCCTGGCCGTGCCAGCCCCCACCTTCTACGTCAGCGATGTTGAGAACTACGTGGGTAAGTGTCCTTTCCTGTGGGTTGTGGGTGCCAGGCCTGCTGCCACAAAGCCACCCCTTCATGCTGGGCATGCCAGTGCAGAAGCCCCTACCCCTGGCCCTGGGCACACACTTATGCCCTCACCCCTCCCTTGGCTGAAGCCCAGCTGTGTGAGCTTATGAGTCAGTGTCCACACCCCCTTCTGGGCATTCTTAGAATGAGACCCAAGCCCTACCAAAGTGACCTGTGACCCTGCCTGCCCCCTGCCCCTGCTACCCTGCCTGCATATTGGAGACTGTCTCGAGGACTTCTTAATCCTTTTAGCTGTGAGCTCCAGGACCTAGCTGATATCTGCTAGTGTTTTTGTCCTGCCCTGGAAGGCCTTGCCTTGCAGAAACAGGCTTGTTAGTCCTAGAGAACTTGCTACCCTGGGGATTTGGGGAGAGCTCCCCTTCAGGACTTCTTTGGCAGTGTCCCTGTAGAGTCATTTAACCTGTTCCCTGTCTCCATCTGTTCCTCCATCAAGTGTTAGAGGCTTGTTAAATTTGGTTCAAATTGTTGCAGGACCCTCCCTACCCTGGGAGCTGAGAGTGCCTGACCACCCACTTTTAGTTGGGGGGCCCAGAATCTAGCCTTATTTGTCCACAGAAAGCTCCATCAGCCCACCAGTCAAGGCCGCAGCAGAGGGGAAGGCCCCGTGCAAAGGAAAGGCTTGCTAACCCTGCCCTTCTCACTCCCTCTCTCAGCTGAGTTGATAGGGAACTCTCTTTCTCTAATTACTTGGGCAAATTGAAGTTCCTGACATCAGTGATAGAAAATGCAGGATTTCCTCCATGGTTTAACAACTTTTCAATTTTCAGAATAATGAGTTGGACCCTAGAAACAAAATCCTTTGATTTTCTGATGTTTAAATTATGAGTGTGCCCCATACGTCATACATATATGGACATGCATATGCTGTAGAAGTCTTTGCTATTTATTTGAAGTTTAGGCACCTGGGTGTCCTGTATTTTCACGTGCTAAGCTGAGGCCATGAGGACCTCACTGCACCAGGGGTCTTCACATAACCGGAGGGAGAGAGCAGCAAGGCAGGCAGGTGGCAGTCGGGTCCTAGAGCCCAGAGCATTTTGCCCAACCCAGGCCCCCTACTGGTGGGAGACTACCCCAGCTCCCCGGTGCAACCCTCTCCTCCTGCTGCCTCCTCAGGCCCAGAGCGAAGCGTGGATGTGACAGATGTCACCAAGCAGAAGGACTGCAAGATGAAGCTGAAGGAGTTTGTTGACTATTACTATAGCACCAACCGCAAGCGGGTCCTGAACCTCACCAACCTCGAGTTCTCCGACACCAGGTGAGGGGCGGGTGGGGCCCCAGGCCCTCCTGGCTCCTAGCCCGTGTTGGTGTTGTCAGGCGGCAGCACCCTTGGGAGTCACTGAGAAACACGGAAAAGGTCCCGGGCCATAAAATCTCACACATGGCTCTGTTGTGCTGTTTCCCTTTTAAAGTTTGAATATTGTGCATTGTGAACAATTCAGCCAGAAAGGGAACAAAAAGTCAGACCCGCCTCTGGCCTGCTTCATCCTGCCCTCCAGAGAGAACAGGTGGTACAAGTGTGGAGAAGTGTCTTCCCCAGGGCATGGACTCGCACCCATGCGTGACACACTCACACACTTGCTCACGCACCTGCCCACCGTTAGCACACACATCATGCCAGTGCTGCAGCAGCAGCCCGTGCGCCCGCCCCGCCGCCCCAGCAGGAGCACCCCAGTCAGCTGCTGTTCTCAGAGTGCGGTCCCAGAGGATGCACCTGGCTCCCCCAGGCCTCCTGGCCCCAAGCTTCTGCCTCAGAGGCTGCTCGAGCCTGGCTCTACCGCCTGGCCCCGAGACCCTGTTCCAGTACCTGCTGTGCAGGGCCAGTGCCCCTGCCCCTCCGCCCCTCTGTGAAGTTCCTAGCTCTCCAGCTGACCCTCTGGGAAGGCCCAGTGCACTTGCTTACTGTAAGGCTTGATGTTTTAGTTTAAGAATGATTTCATTTTTGGATCATTTTTTTTACCTTGGCAACTTCAAAAAAGCACATGTGCAAAAAGAGTAGGAAGGAAAAAAAAAAGTTATTGGAAATCACATCAAGAAAGGGAATACAGAACTATGCTAGGAGCCATACCAAGGCAATGGAACTAGATGTTGGGTTTTGCTTGAATTTCTGGACAGCAAGGGCAGGAAGGGAAGTCGGATGGATCGTACTATCTGGAAACACAACCTCCTATGTGTTTGCAGGAAGATTTTTTCCCAAGATGAGTTCTGAGGAGTGTGTGGCTTTGATAACATCCTGACTGGATGCCCTGCTGGGGGGTGGGGGTTCCTACCAGAGAGATTCTGGGTGACAGCTCAGGGATGGTGGTGCTTTGGTCCGAGTTCTCCACGGGCCTCCCATGACCAGTCCTTTGCTGGCACAGTCCATGGGGCTCGCGTCATTACACAGGGGTGTTTATGTATGCCCAACGGGTCTTTTTTACCATTTGGGAGGGAGGAGGCAGCAGTCGAAAGGCCTCTGGGTCGCGGAAGGAGGGGAGGCAGCCGGCCTCCACGTGCGGCTCTGAGCAGGCACCGAGTGTGCAGGACGCCTGCCCCAGCCCCGCTGACCGTTCTTCCTGCTGCATCCCCAGAATGTCCAGCTTTGTGGAACCTCCTGACATTGTGAAGAAACTGTCCTGGGTAGAAAACTACTGGCCAGATGACGCACTGCTGGCCAAGCCCAAGGTGACCAAGTACTGCCTAATCTGTGTGAAGGACAGCTACACAGACTTCCACATCGACTCGGGGGGTGCCTCCGCCTGGTACCATGTGCTCAAGGTAAGCGCCACCTGTTTCCAAAGAGGCCGAGACTCAGGCAGCATTGGGGGTGCATGCTGCGGTGGGTGACCTAGTCTTCAGTGGCCACTGGTGTCCAGGGAAGGGAGGACAGTGCTGGGGAGATTCCCTAGAAGACAAAGCAGAGACTGACCGCTGGTGACTCCCGTAGGAGCCTGAGGGTGGGGCTGGGGGATGAGTAAGAGCTCCTTGTCCCCTTACCTCCTTCCCCTGGCCACCTGCCCTGTGTGCGTCTCCATGCTCTCCCTGTGGTCTGAGTGCAGGGCTGGGGCCTGGCATGGACCTTCCTTCCATCTCCTGCCCAGCACTGATCAGTTCTTGGAGCAGCGTCCCCTGTCCTCATCACAGAGCTGGCCCACCTCTGTGCCCCTCAGCATGCAAGGCGTTTGCCATGCTGCAGTGCAGGCTGTGGGGTGACCAGGGTGGGTGGTCACCTAGCCTAGAGCCTTCCTCACACAAGGCTTCTGAATTGTCCTGGAATGTGGCTGGACAGCGGGCCTGGGCACAGTGGAGTTCAAGCCAGGCCAGTCTCCAGGAACTTCCACATCTCTGGACTTGATGAGCTCACCCACCCCACCGACCCCAGTGTCCCTGGACTTAGTGAGGTGTGCCCCCCACCGCCAGCAGCTTGGCATGTGAAAGTCTCTGCCAATGGCCTCTCGTTGGCAGGGGGAGAAGATCTTCTATCTCATCAAGCCGGCGTCGGCCAACATCTCCCTGTATGAGCGCTGGCAGTCTGCCTCCAACCACAGCGAGATGTTCTTTGCTGACCAGGTGGACAGGTGCTATAAGTGCACCCTCAAACAGGGCCAGACACTCTTCATCCCCTCAGGTGAGCATCTGTCCCAGCCATCTTTGACGGGGCCTGTGGACCGTGTGGGCACACCACCTCCTCCAGGGCCACCTCAGGGCTCTGAGTCACTCGGCTGCTGGCCCAGCCACTCGTAGAGGCCAGATCTGGGCCAGGAGATTGTGTGGGCCCGGGTGTCCAGTCACTCAGTCACTTCCAAAGGTGGGTGTTTGCCGATATCAACATTTCATACATGAGCAGAGGGAGAAGCACGGTGTCAACAGACATCATACTGCTTCACCATAAGCACTCCACCATTTCAGAAAGGCTGCCTTTCACAATAACAAAATCACAATGTTGCTGTCACACTTTAAAGATGAACAGCCGACAGCAATTCCTTAGTCTAAGTGGCCAGCGGTCTTTCGGTCTCTGCCGCACATATGGCTGATCTGTGTGCCTCCGAGTGTCCTGGCCTGGGCCCTCCCCAGTCCCCACAGCCAGTGACTCCGGCAGGCTGCTCTCGGAGGGACAGGCCCACTTGCCCCCGCCCCACCTCCCTCCTGAGTGCGGAGGCCAGCCTACCGGGCAGCCCGAGTCTAGGGCAGGCCTGGTTTCTGCATCTGCCTGTACAAAGGTGGGTGTGAGGCACAGCTGGGCCAGCTTGGACTTAGGCTCTCTGACTTGGGGGACCACTACTCTTGCATGGAGGGCAGAGTGGGTGCGCTACAGCAGCTCCTTCCAGGCACACTGGGTCTGGGGGAGCAGCCACGTGCCATCACCAGGGCCTGTGAAGGGCTAGTATTCCCGTTGCTCCCAGGCTGGATTTATGCCACACTCACACCAGTAGACTGCCTGGCCTTCGCGGGACACTTCCTGCACAGCCTGAGCGTGGAGATGCAGATGAGGTAAGACCACGCTGCCCAGCCAGCATCGCCACCCCTGAGTCCCGATCGGCCAACGCAGTGATAACCCTGAGCATGACTTTTCACCTCACTGGGCCTGTGGCGGGGGGGGGGCGGAGAGGAAGGAGGTAGCCGAGATTTTACCAGGGTCCCTAAGGGGTGAGGTCACTACACATCCTCTTTGGCCCATGGTAGGTCTGGAGTGGCTTTAAAGACCCATTCTCTTCCAAGACATTCACCTGTTGCTCTAGAAGCAGGAGGCCTGCTCCCACCTCCCAGAGACAATGTGGCCTGGTGTCCCTCCGCCACACAGGACCCAGTGGGGAGGCCTGAGAGGGTGTGCCCATGGCTTTGGGGTCTCTGGCTGTGATGTGGTGGTGACATGGGTTTGCTTTCTTTCTCCCTGATGTTTTCTTGCTGTGGCTTACAGAGCATATGAAGTGGAAAGAAGGTTGAAACTAGGCAGCCTGACTCAATTTCCCAACTTCGAAACTGCCTGTTGGTACATGGGGAAGCACTTGCTGGAGGCCTTCAAAGGTAAATCTGGCCAGCACCTTAGCCTGAGGCTCTGATGGGCTGTTTGCAGGTGAAGCCCAGGGGCATGGGGTGGGTGACAGAGCAGTGAGTTCGCCCTGCTGTGGCCATGTCCCCTCAGCTCCCAGCCTCCGGGTCCCCAGTCTGTGCAGTGCAGCACTGGACTCCAGCCTGCAGGGCTGACTGCTGTTCAGGAAGCAAGGCAGTCCACGTCCCCAGGCCTGGCGTGCTTTCTGCTCAGTGTGCATGCTGCCTGTGGTTATGACAGGGATGCTGGCGCTTGGACCACCAACCCAGGTGCCCGAGAAGCCCCCTACCTAATGGTGGCGGGTATACATGTCTAGGTTCCAGGGGAGGCCTGTGGGGGGCGGCAGGCTCAGCCGGCCCCTGCCATCTCTGGACACCTGCAGGGGTCAGTGCCTGGCTCCTGCTCAGCCTAAGGGAATGGGAGGCGCTGTCTGGAGGGTAGAGCTGAAAACAGCCCTTCGTCCTCCATCTCTCCCCAGATATGGAGCCCTAAACTCTACCCCAGCAGAGGACAGCTCTGCCCTGGGGAGGTGGGGTGGGGCGGGGTGGGGAAACACTCTGGGGACAGGTTTAAGTCCCAGGTGAGAGCTGCCAGCTGCACTGGCCCCACCCTCAGTCTCACACCCTCCTTGGAAGGGCCCAGCAGCCCCAGGCAGACAGTCACCTGACGCCTCAGAGCTTGGGAGCCAGAGAGGCGGATGCTACTACTTTTACGGGGGCTGCTTCCCTCTTTCCGGGATAGCTTTGAAAGATGGGTGCCTGGGCTGCTCCAGGGGGTCACACCCACTGCCAGTGCACTCAGCTTGCCAGTGACATCAGTGTGAGGCTCAGAAAGCTCTGGCTTGCTTGCCGTGGGTAGGACTGCGGCCGCTGCTAAGAGGGGTCAGGTGAGGGGGGAGAAGGGGAAGGGCCAGTTATTGCTCGCTCAGGGCGTCCCAGACAGATGGGCGCCCCCCAGGTTCCAAGGGGAACCGTTGGCAGTTGGGCGGGTGGCAGTGGGCAGAGGCCTGCGGAAGGTCCAGCCCTTAACAATCCTTCCACCTGGGGTGTGAAGTCATCTGCAGGTGGCGGTGAAGGTGCATGGGTACCCAGCCAACAAACCCTCCACCCCCCAGGTTCTCACAAATCTGGAAAGCAGCTGCCACCTCACTTAGTCCAGGGAGCTAAAATCCTCAATGGTGCTTTCAGATCATGGACAAAAAAGCAGGTAAGAAAGTGCTGGTGCGGCCGCGTGGAAAGGGGAGAGAGGTAGGGGCATACCGGGGCGCATCCTTCCACAGGGGAGTGTCCTTGGAGGGGAGAAGCACCTGCAGGGTGAGGGGTACTGACTCGGGGAGCCCTGCACCCCGGCTGAGCTGAGGGGTGAGAGGGTGGGATTCAGTGAGAGGAAGACCACGGTGGGGAAGGGCAGCCTGGAGGTGGGGACCATGGAGGCGTAGGCAGGTGTTGGACGTGGCAGCACCCACGTCTGGACGCCGGATGCCCACACGCCCTTCCCCAAGCAGAAAAGCTCCTGCGCTCTGCGACAGGACCGGTCCCTTCCGCACTCGTGTCCCAGAGCTGCGTGGCCTCAGCCCCGCGGCCCGTGGCCGTGCTGCCCGGCGTGCCCCGCGGCTCCCGGTAGACAGTGGCATCCCGCCAGCCCCATGCAGAAGCTGGTCTCCTAATGACACCTGGCAAGCTGCTCCGACCTCTGCACCGGCCTGGATAGTGGTACAGAGAGCAGAGTGGTCTGGGCAGCTGCAGGTGCCCTCTCGGGCAGCGTCCCCAACCTGGGGGTCTCTTTCCCAGGTCGGGCTGTGCCAGGGCATGGGACACCTTGGGCAGGATGCCCAGAGGGAGCACCTGTTGGCTCCCTTTTTCTCACTTGGCAGATGGGTGGGGTGTCCGGTGCCCTCCCAGACTGCTCTTGGTGGCGGCCACATCCCCCTCTGACTCCAAACCCCAAGTTGTGCGGGGTGTCCCTCCCCCCACCTGGCCACGTGGTCAGGCTAAGCAGCCTTGTGCCTGGTGCAAAGACACTGCTGGCATCTGCTCCTGCCTGGGTGGTGGCTGGGCAGACCGCCTGCTCGGTGGCCGCTCTCCATGTGGAGCGGGGCCATGGCGGTTCCCTCCCATTAGGGCAGCATCTGGCCACGCGGGTAACTCTTCAGGTCTCACCGCTGCTCTGAGTCGGCCCCGCCGTTTAGCCCATGGGCCTGCAGGGCAGGGGTGTGCGCCAGGAAGCACAGGCAGCTTGCTCGGGCCCCTGTTGCGGGGAGGGGGTGCAGCTGGAGGCACTGGCACATTGGCACCTGGACTGGTGACTGGTGCTTGGCCAGCGCTGTGTGACTGACCCATGTGGCTGCCCTACAGGCTTTGGCAGAGCATGAGGATGAGCTTCCAGAGCACTTCAAACCCTCGCAGCTCATCAAAGACCTGGCCAAAGAGATCCGGCTCAGTGAGGTAGGGCTGGCCCCAGGAGGAGGGCTGTCTTCCCCGGCTCTCCTTAAAGTGGCCTGCCAGGTCATGGCTGGCACAGTGCTGCTCTCCTTCCCTGGGGCATGTTCCTGGCGTGGGTGGGCTGGGACTCCTTGCTCTGCAGATGGCCTGTGATGTCCTGGGGAGAGCCCAGGGAGGGAAAGATGGGCTTGCTTCTCTGATGCCCTGGGGGTCCCGGGGGCACAGTCCAGCTCCTGAGACCCTGTGTATGTGAGCCTGACAGCCCCCACCCTCTCTGTGCCTTGATGGGACAGAAGTCCCCATCAGGGAAGGGACAGGGCAGTGGTGACGGTGTGGCGGAATGTCGCACAGCTGCGTGGGACGGGTGTGAACCACATGGTGGGGCACATGGCTGCCCCCCTGCTTGACCAGTGTCCCCTATGGCGGGGCTGTGAGCCCCTCCTGGCAGGAGGTGGTGGCCATCTCTCTCTCCTCCCCAGAATGCCTCCAAGGCTGTGCGACCTGAAGTGACGGCGGCTGTTTCCTCGGATGAGGTCTGTTTTGGGGACCGAGAGAAGGAGGAGCCCCCGTCTCCCATTGAGGCCAGCCCTCCTCGGTCTTTCCTGGAGAAAGTGTCCAAAAAAAAGACTCCAAAAACAGTGAAGATGCCCAAACCGTCCAAAGTCCCCAAGCCCCCGAAGCCCCCAAAACCCCCAAAGCCCCCCAAATCACTGAAGCTCAAGGACGGGGGCAAGAAGAAAGGGAAGAAGAACAGGGGGTCAGCCTCTCCCACTATCCCCAACCTGGACCTGCTGGAGGCCCACACCAAGGAGGCGTTGACCAAGATCGAGCCGCCCAAGAAGGGCAAGGTGCGTGGCCTGCCCATGGTCCAGGCACCGTAGGCGCCTCCTGGGGCCACACCTGTGGGAACAGGCTATGCCACCATGTCCTGCGCTGAAGACCCAGCGTGGGCAGCATGGTGGCACCTGGGGAGAGGTGCTCTGATGCCTTGGTGGGCAGGCAGCATCGAGGGGGCCACGAGGGGCGGGTGTGGGGATGAGCTGGGTGAGTCTTCCTTGGTGTCAAGCATTGAGACCTGAGTGCAGGCAGGGCGCCTGGTCAGGGCAGCAAGGAGGCAGGAGAGGTAGTGGACACCTGCGCCCTTGTGGCTAGGGAGAGAGGTGGACCGGCCCTGAGACCAGGGAGTGGCATGTGTGGGGCTCACGAAGCGCAAGTGCCTGAGACTGGACCTCACTGGGCGGGATTTCCTGCTAGTGGGCAGCAATTACCCACCTCCTGGGAGGTTGGCACGCACCAGGGCCAGCGCTGCAGGGCTGCAGTGGGCATACTGATTTTCTTTTTTAAGGCAAAGAGCAATGAATGAATGAGCAGGCGGTGGATGGGTGGGGGTGTAGGTGGGTAGATGGATATTTGTATGAAGGGTGGGCATGTGGATGGATGTGTGGGTCGGGAGCAAGCAGATGGCTGGGTGAGGCAGTTAGTGAATAGGTGAACGCGTGGCTGGGTGGGAAGCTGAATGGGTTGCATAAGTAGATGATGGGGTGGTGGGTGCATGGGTGGTGGGTGCATGGGTGGTGGGTGAGGGAGGCTCTGAGTCCGCCAGCAGGCGGCAGGGGCTCTGTGCTGTGGCTTTTGGCTGTGTGCTGTAGCCTGAGCGCGCTCCATTGCCTTCCTGGCTCGGGCCACTGGGTCATGGCTGTTATTTTCTAGGCCACTAAGAGTGTCCTCAGTGCTCCCAACAAGGAGGTGGTCAGTCCCCAGAATGATGTGGAGAGGCTGGAAATCCGAGAGCAAACTAAGAGCAAGTCAGAGGCGAAGTGGAAGTATAAGGTGAGGCGTGTCCCCACGTGCCATGTGCCTGTGTGCATGAGCAGGTGAAGGGTCTGCCAGGGAGCTGTGTGGGTGAGAAGCTGGTGTGTGCACGGTGGATGGGCTCAGAGGTGTGAGCAGAGGTGTGCACTGAGTGTGCGTGCACGCAGGTCATACAGGGAGGTGTCCCCAGGCGGCAGCGCTGTGAAGGCTTGCTGTGCTCCGGGCACCTTTGCGGGGCCACCTCCATGGCATAGGTTCAGGCACATCTGGCCTGGCAGCGAGTGTTGTCCTCAGCCCATAAACATGGCTCCCCAGTGGCCCTGCCCTAGCTGGAGCGCTCCCTCTCTGGGTGCCAGCTGGCATCCGAGGGCAGGTCCTGCAGGCCTGGCGGCTCGGGTCCCGGGTGCAGCCCACACCAGCCTGCAGGTGGTGGACATGTTTCTGAGATGTGCAGAGGGAGAAGACTGGCCCAGGCTGGCCCTCCTGCCACTGACTGACCATCTGTGTGTGGCTAGCATCATCCCGGGTTTGTTTTTCAGAACAGTAAACCAGACTCCCTGCTGAAGATGGAGGAGGAGCAGAAGCTGGAGAAATCTCCTCTGTCGGGGAACAAGGACTCCAAATTCTCTTTTTCCTTCTCCAACAAGAAACTCCTGGGGTATGTGAGTGCACATGGCAGGATGGGGTGGGGGGAGAAGGGGTGCATCGCTCCATCTCTTCTGAGAGTGTGGGCCCATGATGCGTGCACCGACACAGTGCATTTCCCACCCAAATATCACCCCCACACCCCCTGTACACACATCCTGCACACACACGCACTCCCTGCGAGCTCCCCAGTGAGGCCTCCTTCCCAAACTGGCAGCATCACCAGGCACACCCCTCTGGGGCCCACACTGCGGAGGCCCCTCCCTGCCTCCTAAGCTGACGGCTCAGCTCAGGTGCGTAGGTGACTATGGTGGATCCCCACCGGTGAGGGGCAGGTGGGCAGAGGCTGGAGGTGGAGCCTGCAGTGCTTGTCAGAGGAGAGGGAAGATGTTAGCCAGGTGGCTGCTTGGGTGGAGGTCAGCATGGCTGGCTGAGCAGATGGGGGTCAGGGTCCTGTCATGGTGGTCAGTGGTTGGGGGGGGGGAGAGGCTGGTGCGAACCTGTACTCTAGCCTAGTGCAAGCCCACCTCAGTCTGTGACAGGGCTGTGGGGGACAGAGTCATGGAGCTCGAGGGTTCCCTGAGGTCCTTAGGTATGTTGGAAGCTGTCTCATCTGGGAGTCAGGGTGCTTCCTGGGGGAGCCAGTACTGAACTGAGAGGTGGGGGGTTTGCAGCGGGCGTGTGCTGGCCACCCTATTCCACTGGGAAGCAATTCTGGTCCAGCAGGTCCCCCTTGCTGGGTCTAAGCCAGGGTAGATGCCCCAGTCCGGAAGCAGATACGTCCCTGTGGGAATGGGCCCATTTTCTTCCCTGAGCCTCATCTTTGAGAGGCAAGGAGAAGGCCATATCCAGGAGTGGGGGACCGACAGTAGGCCGTTACCCCCGGAGCTCGGGTGCTGTGCCCAGGCCACTCAGTGAGCAAGTGGAGGGGCCAGGGTCTGTTCTACAGCCAGGTGCCCACTTCAGGAACATCCCCCTGGCTTACTGGCAGTTCAGCTCTAGGTCCTGGGGGCATGTAAACAGACGAACCCTATGCTGTGGAGAGTTTAGGGAACGCAGGGAAGTTCCATGGCATTCTCTAAGCTGCGGGGGTATGTGTGTGTGAGATGTGTATACCTGTGTGTTGTTACATACCTGTACCCACATCTGTAGGTTCCTGGTGCCAGGTGCTCCCTGCCTATGTCCTTGTCTCTTGTGGGGACTGGAACCATGTCTGTTGGGGTTACAGATGCTCTCGCCTACTGTCCCAATCCTGAGTGAGCATGGTCCCCTGAGCCCAAGGAGCTGAGGTGTCAAGCCTCACCCCAGGAGGGAGATGAGGGCATGAAAGTCTTTAGATCGTTGTAGCTACACCATGGCCCTGAATTTATTTCTCAAAGAGCTGTGTAGCAAACTCACTGGCTCTTTCTCTGTTGACACACTCTCAGGTTTTGCAGACTCCAAGCAGGCTGGACATGCTGGTCCAGTATTCAGGGAGGTCAAGGGCACATAGCCAGGTGGCCAGGGAGAGACTAGACACACCCCAGGGCCAGCACTACCCCGACAGGGTCACAACAGCAGGAGTGGGCCGTAGGGCTGAGGTGCCCAGCCAGCCCCTGCTCCCGGAGACCCCCTGAGGACAGGGGTGGCTGAGCCCCTTCAGGCCCTATTTGGGGAGGGGGCCGCACAAGCAGCCACACGGCTGCCCGCTGACCACTCATGTCTGCCACCCTAGCTCCAAGGCTCTCAAGCCGCAGCCAAGCCCAGGGGTGTTTGGGCCCTTGCAGAACTCCAAGGAAGACAAGCCCCGGCCTGTGCGGGACGAGTATGAGTACGTGTCAGACGACGGGGAGCTTAAGATCGATGAGTTTCCCATCAGGAGGAAGAAGAATGCCCCCAAGAGGGACTTGTCCTGTGAGTCAGGGCACTGGGTGGGGGCGGTGTGGGGTGGGCATCTGTCCCTGAAGTCTCCCCGCTTGTGACAGGGTTGGGAGTGGACCCCTCCCAGTCCTACGACGGGCCTTCTGCTCTCCTACAGTCCTGCTGGACAAGAAGGAACTGCTGCCCACACCTGCCACCAAGCCAAAGCTGGACTCGGCGCTCTACAAGGTGAGCCCCCAGGAGGGGTCCTGGCAGTCACCTGTAGCCTCAGGAGCCTAGGGTGCCTCTGCAGAGCCACCTGAGGGCTGAGCGGGAGCCCTCCAGCTGCAGGCTTCGCCTCTTCCCCACCTCGAGACTCCTGTGTCTGTTCCCAGTTGGGGCTGGCGAGGCAGGTTCCTGTGCAAGCAGCGCAGGATGTGCTGGCCACCGGCCCTTTGCAGGCAGGCTCCTAGGCCCCACAGCACAGCTGGACACCCTCGTGGTGCTGTGCAGCGTGTCTGGCGTCTGGCCAGCAGCCCCGTAGTCCTGCCCGCCCCCCCCAGCTCTTCTTTGACCCGGCCCCAGCAGAGCGACGACTCTTCTGACGAGGGCTCACTGCACATCGACACGGACACCAAGCCCAGCCGCAACGCCAAAGTGAAGAAGGACGGCGGGAGCTCCGCCGCGGGAATCCTGGACCTGCTGCAGGCCAGCGAGGAGGTGGGCGCGCTGGAGTATAACCCCAACAGGTAGGCCTGGCTGTCCACTCACTCTGGGTAGCAGGTGCTCACACAGTGGGGGAGCCTTTAGGGCTCCCAGTGGGCTTTGTGTAGGTACAATTTGTATGTAGGGGATTCAGAGGGAGGGGTGCCAAGGGTGCAGAGACGCTTGTCCCCCCAGTCAGGCAGCCATAGCAGGACCCTGCCTGGTGGAGGTGGCACCAGACAGGCAGGCAGCTAAGGGGGTTGCTGTATGAGCTCACTGGTCGGTTCCTAGAGCCCTAAGACACAGAGTTCTGAGGACGGACGCTCCTCTTGTGGTGGTTCTTGGACCCCTGGGCAGGAAGGGGCTGAGGAACCATTACACATCTGGGCTGTACAGGGAGGAAGCAGCTGGGCCAGGGTCTTGGTATCTGTCATGGCTGTTCCATGCAGGGACATCCAGAAGTCTCTGTTTCCTCACTTCGCCCTGACATACATTTAAGATTAAACCCTAGGCCTGGGCCCAACATCTGAATGAAAGTTGGCTGACTTTCAGATGTGCGTATAAAACCCAACTATGGGATCAGACAACAGTCCAAGAGGATACAGTCTTGGTCCCTGCAAGCTCAGAGTCTATGCCCTACAGTTTCACCATAGGTTATATTAATAGAGGCAACACACGTAGCTCAGGGGAGGTGATGGTCCTGATCCAACATGAATCCTTATACCCACATATAGGACCATGTGGCCTGACCAGAGGGTAGAAACCACAGCACTGAGACGAGTTGATAATTGGGTCAGACTCCACTCACTGCTTGAGGGTGGGATGCAGATGCTGTCCTGCCTGGAGGCCTGGGATTCTGGGCAGTCAGTTAGGTGCCCAGAACATGTATCTACTCAGCACAGTCCAGGCAGCCCTCGCTGCGCAGGCCTGTCTGGTCCGACTGATCCAAGAGAAATGGATTAATCCCTTCTGGGCTTTGCTTTTGATGAAGGACTGGGGCTGGTTTCTCTCATGATGGTCTCAGTTAAATTCTCTCAATCTGGGTTAAATTTTATCTCTTTGTGTACTGCAATCATTTTTTCCCATATGGAATTTCCACAAAGGCCACCGATAGATAACTAAGGGGTTGGGCCTGTCCCTACCTTGGAACCTCCCACTTGGATCTGCAGAGGGCTCCCCTCCTAAACCTTGGGGAGCTGTAGATTCCTGCTGTACAGATGGGGACTTTGGGGCTTGAAGGGCTTAGCCCATCCACTTGGAGTGAAGCAGCAGGACCAGGATTCCCAGCAGCCTGGTTCTGGAAGCCCAGGCGGAACCCTGAAGGCTGGCCATGCCATGCCATCTGTGGGCCAGGCTTGCAAGGTGCCAGTGGGTCCTCAAGTCCACCTGCGCCCTCTCCCTTTGACATTGTGCTTCCAGCACGGAGGGCCCAGGCCTGCGGGAGCTTTTGGAGGCAGGTCAGGGCCCGACTGGAAAGGGCTCTCGCCGGGTAGCTTGTATCTTCTTCCCCAAATTACCTTTTTGTGCGATGTCACATTCATTGGTGGCCCAGGGAGCCTTCTCTCCTGGGAGTGAAATGTGACTGCAGACGTCCACAGTGCTTCAGGGCAGATTTCCCCCTGGGAATATTTGGTTTCTGTAGGCATGTAAACCCAGCCCCTCACGCAGAGATGCCCAGTGGCCTTTGCAGTGGCAGGGCCGTAGGAGGGGGTCACCCAGCGGTGTGTCCCCTCTTCCTGGAGGCTGCTGGCCCCATGCCTACCTTGCGGGAGGCCCAAGGCTCAGGCTCTAGAGGCACCTGGGATCTAAAGCCCCTGAGAAGTGCATCAAAACGGCTCTGCGGGACAAGGGCCCAGTGGACTGGGCACAAGCGCCACCCAGGCCGCGCAGGCCTCACGTGCCCGCACACGTGCCTGCCGCGGGCGGTTCCTCTCCCGTCTCCCATTTGCAACATCGGTCAGTTTTTGATGGTCCATTTGCTCTGTTTTAAGTATTTGCTGTTTGGAAAGAAGCAGCTGAAGAAAATGGAGGAAAATATGTTAATTTCTCGTGGATGGTTTGCTTGGTGTTTACCTCAGGGTGGGGGGGCGGGGGCAGCGAGGGTTTTGGTATGATAATTGGAGGATTAAGGTATTATTTTCCATGTGGACTCGGTAGATTGCTCCTTGATTCCTGGCCCCTCGTGGACAGATGGGCGGCCTGGAAGGGCATGTGACCCCTCCCAGTTGGGTTGCAGCCAAGCTAGACTGGGGCCTTCAGGTCTGGGTGGCACAGGCCGGTACCAGCACTGGCTCCCAGGGTCCTGTGGGTGTCCTCACTCCTACCCTTTGACCTCACAGAGGAGCCTGCAGTCTGTTGAGACCTGCGTCTGGGCAGGGGCCGAGGCCTTCAGGTCCGGGTTGACCAGGCCTGGGCAGGGTTCAGGGGAGCCCGTGCCAAGGGCTGGGGCATCTGCCGCCTCCTGCACTCAGATAGGGTGCAGGTGCCTGCTCAGCTTCGGTGATGGAAGCCCAGCAATGGGGACACCATGGCCTGTGCCCCAGCTGGGCCCGGCAGCCCTTGGCCTTTGTGAGACGGTGGGGTCTGTGGCTGGGGTGAGGGCGCCAGGGCAAGCAGAGGGCTGGCAGGAGGGACTCCATGCTCTCCAGGACGGCTTAAGAGTAGTTGAGTTTTCTCTTGTCTGTAGCTTTGGAACCACAGTCTTTTTGGTTCCAGGGAAATTGCCATCCAGTTGCATGTTGGCAGACTGGGGAGTGGTACTCATGGAGAGCTGCCTAGAGAGGTGCCCGCTTCTCTCCTCTCTGCTTAGGCAGAGTCTCTGGCCTGGGGCCCACAGGGCCCCTCCAAGCTTTTGTTCAAGCTTATCCCTAGGTCCATGGACAAACTTCTAGCTATGCTCCCTGTGAACCCTCCCTTCAAGCCTGGAGAGCCCTTGACTCCTCCCCATGTCAGTGGGCTTACTGAAATGGGCCGTAGCCACTAGAAGATAGAGGTGGGAGTGAGACATGGAGGAAAATGAGGGATCAGTTGGGGTATATAGAGAAGTTGGCACAGATCCTCAAGGGCTTTTGGGTACTGCTTGGGCCCGTAGCAGGGTGTTCAAGACCTGTTGGCCATGGACAGGTCTCCCTGCTGCCCCCAGTCTGGGATAGTGAGGGGAGGGCTAGGTGGGGCCACAGCTTGGTATAAGCTCAGGGCTAGGGCCTGCTTCACCCTATGCCAGCTCCTGGCCCTACCTCCCTGGGGCCCAGAAAGAGGAGGGTCAGCTAGGGAGCCCCCTCATTATCCCCAAAGGCTGAAGTAGGGCTGTGCTGTACTGTATGGGTCAGGCTTTGGGCCAGAGGGCAGCCACAAAGGCCAGGGCCAGAAATAACTGCTGAAGGGAGATGTTGCATGCCTTGTGAGAGATGCAGGGGTCTGTGAGGGCAGACCTTCCCTCAGCTGCATGTGGGCATCCATACCCAGCCAGTCCAGAATCTCTGGGCATGGTCTGGGCATTGGCATTTTAAGCCGCAGGTGTTTAGGCAGCTTGGAGGGTCTTGGCTGTAGGAGGTTATGGGCTGGGTGGGACCACTGGGAGGATGGGGAGCATTGAATGGGCAGGACCCCATAATGAGGCTGGGCAGAACCCCATGTGGGTCCTGGAGAATAGAAGGGGAGTGAGAGGGATTGAGAGGGACTAAGCTCATACTGAGCCAAGGTGTGGCCATGGTGCCAGGAGGTGTAGGCGTAGAGCAGGTATAGGCAGAGTGTAGATTTGGGTGTAGGTGTGGGTGAAGGTGTAGATTTGGGTATAGGTTTGGGAGCAGGTTTGGGTACAGGCATCATTTCAGTGGGAGGGAGAGGTCCCTAATGTCAGTATGCCAGCTTGGGCTGGGGCACCCTGCCAGGTTTAGAGGAAGGGGCTGGGACCAAAGGCAGGCTCTGCAGTGGGAGACAAGACAGGCCCAAGGGAGCAAGACCCAGCTGGAGTGGAGTGAGTGAGCTCCTGCGTGTTGGCTTTATGGTGCAAGGCCAGCATGCGGCCAGAGACTGGAGCTGGGGCTTCTCAGTCTGCCACCCACTCCCACTGTCCCCCTCCCTGTCTCCTGTCCATGCCCCTCTCTGCCAAGACCTTCAGCCCTCCCTAGAAGGGTGGGGGTAGCATGTGCTAGCCAGTTCCACAGGGAAATCACTGGCCTAACCCCACCATCTCTGGCCACTGGGCAAAGGTGGTACATGCCTCGGTGGGCCTCGGTTGTGGGCCGTGGAGGGTGCCGTGGACTGAGGGCGGCTTGGGGCGTGTGCCATGAGCCACAAGCCGTGGACTGAGTGCCTGTCTCTGCCCCCAGCCAGCCCCCGGCCTCCCCCAGCACACAGGAAGCCATTCAGGGAATGCTGTCTATGGCCAACCTGCAGGCCTCAGACTCCTGCCTGCAGACCTCGTGGGGCGCTGGCCAGGCCAAGGGCAGCTCACTGGTAGCCCACAGCGCCCGGAAGAATGGGGGTGGTGGCAAGAGCGCGGGCAAGCGGCTGCTGAAGAGGACCGCCAGGAACAGCGTGGGCCTGGACGACTACGAGGAGGAGCAGGACCACCTGGATGCCTGCTTCAAGGACTCGGACTACGGTGAGGCCGTGGGGGGCGCCCGCAGGCCGTGTCCAGGCCCCTTCTGAGATGTGGCTCACAGGCCCTAACAGCCCCTAGGACACACAGCCCTGTGCTGGTCTCGCTGTTGGGCATGTGAGGTGTGCGCCACCCTCAAAATTGTGGCCCCGAAAGCAGACCCCACACCGACACTGTGGTGTCGGGGATGGCTACCCCGCTGCTGGCTACCAGGATGCACTGGACTACTGCCTCAAGCCCCTGAGCCTGGTGCTGTGGGGTGGCCACACTAGCACAGCCTTCCGGCCCATCTCCCGCCCCTCTGAGGCCCGCAGCATGCCGCCCGGATGCAGCGTGGTCCTTCGACCCTCACAGTTGCGCTGGGGGGCTCCAGCTGTGAACAGGGAGGTCCCTGTGGATTGAGCAGCTGATGCCATGGCAGCACTGGGGTCGGGGGCGTCTATCCCAGCTGCTGGCCCCTGCCTGTGGCCTCACCACTTCACACCTAGCCACATGAGACCTTGTCCACGGTCTGTCTCTGCTGCTGGAGAAGCAGAGCCCGAGGTGCTCCATGAGTTGGGAGCTGGGCTGTGGCCTCCACCAGGGCCTCTGGGGACCTGCTCTGCTCTGTGGGAGTGGACTTGACTCCCATGGGAGTCCCTGGTGGTGCAGGGCCTGCTGCTATCTGACAGATGACAGTGGAGCAGACTCCCATTTGGGGGCCTCCCTTGGGGTTTAGGGTGGATCCTAGGGGTTCAGGGGCCATAGGCTCTGGTAGGGGGGACACTCAAGAGTCACAGTTTGGGGGCTGCTGTGTTGGGCTTCCTTCTCCAGTGACTCACTGGGGCAGGTTGGGGCCTTCAGAAACTCCCTGTGCCGTGGGCGTCAGACAGATGAGATTGCTCGGGCACCACTGAGGCTCGGGCCTCTTGTGTGGCAGCTCCTGCCCCTCTCTGCACCTCAGAGGAGCCTTGGCAGGACAGTTTCTAGGTAGGGCCCAGAAATGCCTGTGCAGGGCCAGACTCTGACTGAGGACAGGTGGGGGGACCCAGCAATCCGCAGCACACAAGTGGCTCAACCCTCTCCCTTGGACTCTCTAGTGTACCCCTCCCTGGAGTCAGACGAGGACAGCCCCGTCTTCAAGTCCCGGTCCAAGAAGAGGAAAGGCTCGGATGATGCCCCCTACAGCCCAACAGGTAGTGCTGGCCCTGTGCGCCCTGGCCTGGAGAGCGGCACCCTCTGGCCTCCCAGGCGGCGGGCCGGCTCTGTGCGGTCACCCGCCTATGGGCTGTCATGAGCACCCGCTCCCCTCTGGAACCCAGAGCCGTCGCTCGTGTGCAGCTCCCAGAGCCCCACAGCCCCACCTAGCTCATGTCCCCTGCTCGGGAAGGGTCCCTGGACATGGCCCTCGGAAGCAGGCGCTTTCTCACTTGTTTCTGTGTTCGCTTGTTTGATGTTCTACTTGTCTTACATTGTTGTCCAGTTTTGTGCAGAACCTGGCGTCTCCCTCAGGTGTAACCCCCAGTCTCCCACCACAGCACCTGTGCACCCCCACCAGGCCCCTTGTGTTCTCCCCAACCCTGGCGTGATCCCTTTTCCTCCCCTGCCCTGCATTAGGCCTGAGATCTAGTTTGTAGCAGGAACTTTCCATCAAGTGCCCCCTGCCCTGCACTTGATGGGGTGTGAGAGGCCCCTCTGCTGGGGCTCAAGGCGGCCTCTCCAGGTGGACTGTGTCCCCCAGACTCTGATAGACTGAGGCGGGGCTGGGAGTTGGGGCGGCGGCGGGTGCAGCACTGCTGAGGCAGGCTCGCTTTTCTCCTGCAGCGAGGGTGGGTCCATCGGTGCCCAGGCAGGACCGGCCGGTGCGCGAGGGCACCAGAGTAGCCTCCATCGAGACCGGGCTGGCGGCCGCGGCAGCCAAGCTGTCCCAGCAGGTGAGCAGGGGCAACACTGGGCTAGGGCCCCCCTGGGCTCTGCTTCCCAGCAGTCTCTGTCCCTACCCTGGGCCAGCACTTAGGCTGGGGGCTGTCACAGGCTTGGGGACATGTGGGTATCACCACCCCTCTTACTCCTGCTCCCCAAAACCCTGCAAGTGGGGTTGGTCTCTGACCAACAGAAGCCTTCTTGCTGAGCTGGCATGGGACGGGGGAGGGTTCCCTGTCCCCTGTGACCATGCCATCCGTTTGTCCCAGAGCAGGGGACAGGTGTCCCATCACTATAGCCATGTCCTACCCGTCCTCTTGAGCACCGCCAGCAATTCCCAGGCACAGTTATTCAGAAAGAAGGGTCCCAGGTGCCACTTGGATCAATCTGGACTCCATCTTTGCACCCAAGGGAGTTGACAGGACCAAAGTGGGTATCCTAGAACCCAGAGTCCCACAGCAGCTTGGAATGGGTGATGGGGGGCAGTAGTAGCTGACTGTAGCCTGAGCGGGGCCCATCACTGCTGTGAGTGCTGGTGTCACATCCGATGTCCCAGTGGTCAGGACAGACCCCCCCAAAACAGGAACGTGGGGCCTCCAGCCCAGTGGGGGGCTTGGGCATGGTCTCCTCTGATACCAAGGGGGTCTAGCACCTGAGGTCCAGCCCACCCTGAGTAGTAACCCACCTGCTTGCTTTGTTCAAAGGAGGAGCAGAAAAGCAGGAAGAAAAAGAATGCCAAAAGGAAGCTGGTTCCCAACACTGTCTCCCCCTCAGCCTCTGCCAGCACCACCCCAGCCGGCACCACCTCTGCCGGCACCACCCCAGCCGGTACCACCTCGTCCTCTACCACCCCGGCCTCCACCACCCCAGCCTCTACCAGCACGGCCAGCAGCCAGGCCTCCCAGGAGGGCAGCTCGCCGGAGCCCCCACCGGAGTCACACAGCAGCAGCCTAGCCGACCACGAGTACACAGCGGCCGGCGCCTTCGCCGGGGCCCAGGGCGGCCGCACCTCCCAACCCATGGCCCCCGGGGTCTTCCTCACACAGAGACGGCCCTCTGCGTCGTCCCCCAACAACACCGCTGCCAAAGGTACTGTGCCCGCCCGCCCCGAGTGACCCTAGGCTTGCACGCTGTCCTGGATACAAGCAGGCACCTGGCCCTCTTGGCGTCAGCTGCTCTGTGAGACGCACACTGTCAGTGCGGGAAAGGGAGACCCAGAGCTAGGGTGAGCCTCCAGGGGTCTGCTCGCCCTGCTTTCGGCTTGCAGACCTCCAGGGCCTCAGCTCTGGGCCCTGCTTAGAGTCAGGGTTATGTCATCAGTTTGCCGAGGGCACTTAGGAGGGGGCCAGGGAGGCGCCAGCTCCTCTGTGAACCGGAATGGGTGACTGGCCAGCCCCCCCGGTCTGTTGCCGGCCCCCCCAGGCACCAGCTGTCTGCAGCCTGGCTGTGGAGCCCAGCAGCTGGCACTGGGGAGTGTGGCTGCAGGTGAGCCTGCTGCCGGGCCGGGGCGGGGCTGCCTGTGCCAGATGGTGGCCCTGCCCCTCGCACCCCGCCCCCACTCCGCCTGGCCGCCCCTGGCTCTTCCAGGAGCATTCCGTGAGTTAGAGGGGTGCAGGGGCATTGAAGGCCCATTTCCCGGGAGGACCCCAGCCCCATCCCCGTTTCTGCTCTCTCACTCACCTTCCTCCTTGTGTCCTTTCCCCGCTCCCAGGAAAACGTACAAAAAAGGGCATGGCCACCGCCAAGCAGAGGCTTGGGAAAATTTTGAAAATTCATCGCAACGGAAAACTGCTCCTTTAAAGTCTGGAAAGCCAGGATCCTTCTGCTCCGCTCAGGACCCCCGGAGCCCCGCTAAAACATCAGCCCCCAGGAGGGTGGCCTCGCGGCCTCGCTGCCTCGCCCCAGGGAGGGCCTGGCCTCCTCCCGGCCACCCCTACACGAGCATCTGTTGCTTCAGCTGGCAGAGCTCGCCCACACGGACGTCCTTTCTCAAGTTGCTTAGAGTGACCAGTTCCCAAAAAGCGGCCCTGCCCTTTTGAGGACCAGTCCAGTTCCAGGCCCGCCCCCAGGCGCCCCTGAGCGTGGCTGTGATTGCAGGGCTTCCGCAGCTCTCCTGGAGCAGGAGCCTTCGAGGAAGGTGTGAGCCAGAGCTCACCAGGCCCAGAGTCAGAGCTGGCCACAGGCTGGTAGCCTCCAGAGGCTTAAAAAAAGGCAAAGAACACTAGAGAGGAAGAGGAGGAGAAAGCAGGGTGTTGGTGAGCCCCCTTCTCTTCCCGAGTGATTCTCAGACAAGTCCAGAGAGTATTCGGCCCGGCCAGAGAGGGGCCCCGCGCTCCCTGGCTGGCGGTGGCGGGCCGGGTGGCCGTGTCGTGCCCTGAATGCCCTAGGCATTTTGGGGGCGGGCAGCAGGGTCAGTGTGTTAGTGGTTGGGGGGACTCTCGTAGGGTCCCTGGGAAGGGCTCGGGCCCAGCCATGATGTGGGGCCCCGGGGGCCCAGGCTAAGCCACATGGGTGGGTCCCTTCCAGCCCAACAGCCGCACTCCCGAGAGGCACTGCTCAGAGAGGCACCTGCCCTGGACCTGGCGGGGCCCCCTGCTGAGGACACAGGCCGGGCCCTCTGCTCACCTGTGGCGCTTGGCGTCGAGTGCTAGCAGGTCCTGGACCGTGTGTCCGCCCATCTACACAGAGGGCTGGGTTTGTTTCTCAGGCAATCCTGTATTTTAATTTTAGATGTATTTCCTGAAGCATATTTTTCATAGAATGTAGCGTGTAAATAGCTTTTTAAATAACTTCTTTTTTATAAGAGTAAGAGTATCTTTAGGAATTTCTTTCTATAGAGTCCTTCATTAACATTTATACGAGTTTTTTGCCGAGTATGATGAACAGTTGGGTTTCTGATGCTTTTCCTTTTCCTTCTTTCTTTTTATTATTATGATTATTATTATTATTATTTGTTCTTTTAGGAACTAAGGTATTGCCTGAAAAACAAGTAATGTCTGTGCAGCCTTATGTCTGTCTTTACAGAAGCAAACAGTAAAATCGATCTCTTTCAGACACGTTTTGAAGACAAATCTTCAACTTGAATACCAGCTATTGTTTCCTTCCTGTATGACGAGGGTGGGGGATACAGTTATTTTATTAGCACCTTGTGAAGTGTTTCTGTGTTTTGTGATGCTGTAATTTATTAATGTTTGTAGCTTTTTATATTTGTACATTTCTTATGAGCTTTGTTTATATACCCATCCCTGGGTGTTCTGTCCACAAGGGGACGCAGCTTTGCGTAGCCTTACCTACCCACCCGTCCTGTGGGGGGGTCGCAGCCCCTGGCCCGAGGCTGAGGGGCAAGCCTCCCAGCTGGATGACCCTGACCCGGTGTCTGGAAGGTTCCTTTCCCTGTCCTTGAACATTTATACAATCTAACCCGGGCATCAAGCTGTGCTCTCTCTCTCTCTCTCTTTTATTTTTTTAATTTTATTATTATTATTTTGGCAACATGTACATTTCTAACAAAGTTTATCGTGGCTATTAAAGTGTTTTATTTCCAATTCATATTACTCTTGTATCGAGTCCATGAGGTCTAAGGTGACTTAGATCAAAGTTTTAAAAGAGTAAAAATATTTCAGGTTTTGTACAGAACCATGTCTGTGTCATTTCTGCCTCCTTTGCCACCATCCGTCCTGGTTGTGAGGGGCCTGGATGTCGGGGAGGGGAGGTTCCAGACCCCCAGCCCAGGCCTGACTGGCAGTGTGCCCCTTGGCAAGCCCTCAGAGTGCCCACAGGACCTACATGCTGCCCTCCACCCCAAACCACAGCACCTGAGCAGGAAAGACTCTCCTAAAAGGCAACCTTCTACCGGTCCCAGTCCCACGCTCCCTCTGCAGCCTCTAGAACCTTCTTAAGGTCTACAGGTGTGTAGTTTAAGTCTTGTGAATGTGAGGTCAGCACCCAGGAGCAGTCAGGAATGTATATACGATTTCTGAGTGAATCCAATGATATCCACAGCAAGCCAATACAAATGACACCAGCCCTGTGTCCCCCCCCACTGCCCCGCCTCCCCAGTAACAGTATGGGGCTTGGTGAGGATGCAGGATGGTGGCGACTTTAGAGACCATCTGGAAGAATGGACACAGCATAAGGAGGGCCTGGGCCCATGTTGGGCATGTCAGATACTACTGGGCCTGGCAGCTATATGGCCAGCGTGAATGGCCTTTGCATATGTTCAGGCTGGGCACTCACCCTTTGGAAGATTCTCTGTCCCCCACCCAAATAGCCAGATTCTGCTCTGAACATCTCCCCTGGTCCACCCACGGGGTCCCCATGTCCTCACACCATAGTCTCTGGGAGACTGTACTCTGTGCAGTCCCTCCAACCTCTACCCCACCCCCCACCCCAGGAAAGCTCAGGCCAGCTGGGCCTTCAGATTGAGCCATCTGTCCCTGGGTCCATTCAACACAGTGTGACTATCAGAACTGGGTGCCTCCCCAGAAAGTAATCAAGAGTCGGAGAGCCTGGGAGAGCTAGGCCCTTGCTGCTGTGTGCCTGGAGGCGTGTTTCAGGTATTTGTGCACCTGTACTTGGGGCACATCTGTGTGGACCCCAGTCATGTGTCTGTGGGTGTGACTGGCAGGGACCTGCCATGGCCCTTTAGATGGCTTTTTGCCTCTTGGTGCAGTGCATCGGCCTGGAGCCATCTCCACTCACCTGTCAGGTGAATAACTGGAAGCCCAGGCTTTTCTTTGATGACAGGTTCCTCACTCACCAGGCAAGTTGGGGTCAGCTGTGTGTTGCGCTGAGTTCAGTCCCACTGTGCTGTTGAGGTGGCTCTGGGAGGCAACAGGATGCCTAGACTGGCCACACAATAAGGATGTGAGTTCCCTCTGCCCCTAGATTTTTTCATCAGGCTTGTGTTACCATTATCTCCATGTGGTGGGGAGCTCAGTGCTGCGGCAGTCGATTATTTTGCATGGCCCAGCCTAGCCTGCATACAGTCCCCAAGCCTGCAGGAAGAGGTCCCACCAGGTGCCTGGGGCAATACTCACAGCGGCCAGCAGGGGGCAGGGGAGGGCTGGGAACCAGGCTTCCATGGTGGCCGCTTCCCATTTAGCTCCTTCTGTCTCTGACTTGTGGCTGAGGGTTCAGCAACCAGCAGAAAATCAAAGCCATTGTGCATTGTGCGTGCTGGGAAGAAGGTAAAAATAACCAGACCAACTTCATCTTGACTGTCTAAGCACCTGTCTGAAGCAGATGCAGGTATTCATGTGTCCACCTAACTGACTCCCTGGAGGAAGCTCCCCTCATTGCTTTTGCCTTACAATGAATGGGAACGTTGAGACATATCTGTGTAGGGACCCCAGTCGTGTCTCAGGGTATGACTGCAATGGGGCTCTGGGCTCCATGGCCCTTTGGATGTCTTCTTGCCTCTTGTTGTAGTGCATCAGCCCAGAGCCAGTATGGACTCAGAACCAAATCCAAGCAGACCAGCTCTAGGGCCCTCAGGCTTTTTCAAGACCTCCAGACAGGTCATCTCATAGAGGTGACTAGAGGGCAGCCCTCATGCTCCTAAGAGGGCTGCACCAAGAGCAGAGAAACGTATTGCCTAGCCGTGCAAAGGCCCTGAGGTACAGAAGGGGCCAGGCGCCATCTTTGAGAATGGCTGGACAGAGTAGCTGAGGACAGGGGAGGGGAAGCAGCTTAGTCAGGGCCGGTCCATGTGTGGTGCTGGGAGCTCACCCCTTTGCTTCTCTTTCCTGCCCCCTTCTCCTCTCACCCTGCTCGCCAAGGAAGCCTCTTTGCAGGTGGAGACACTGAGGCAGGCCTTGTGTGGAATTCTTGGCTGCAAGAGGTTTCTCCCTCTGTGTACATAGTACTGAGGCCATTTGGGGTGTCGGAGGGAGTCGAGGGTTCCCGAGTGGGGAATTAAGGGAAAGATGTTGCTAATTTAGAATCCAGCTCATGGCCTCAGCCCTGTGAAGACACCTAATAATGATTCCAGGAATAAGGCTGTCTAAACACCACATCACAGACATGCGCCACATAATAGCTCCATTAAGTGACTGTGCTACCCTGTGGACACAGCTCCTGAGCACCTATGGTGTGCGTGCAGGGGGCTGTGAGCTTCCCTGCAGAAAATTGCCTGGTGCCTACAATAAAGAGCATCTTTGACAGGAGCCCTGAGAGCCTAGGAGAGTGTAGGGGCCAGGGAACAGCACATACGGAGGCCCTTGGGCTGATCTGGTTGAAGGAGTGTGAGAGCAGGGTGGAGAACTCGGAAGGACCAGGGACTGAGAATGCCTCAGTCAGGCTTCTGCTGCTTGAGTGGCTGCACCATTGTCCCCTGAGCTGTTGGCAGCCACTGCCCAGCCTGTCTGTGGGACCTCAGGCATTTCAGCTTCGTCATCTGCAGAGTGGGAGAGGCTGCAAGGCTGATTGCTCCCTGAATGCTGCACTCTAATCACCTAGCCCCTGTGGAAGCTCCCATACTTGGCCTGCCCACTTACAGCCCTGTCACTGTATCATGTCAGCCCTGACCCTTCTGGGCTTCTGCCTTTCTAGCAATAAGGACAAGATGGCTGAGAAGGCAGGCCCTAGCAGGAGGCGAAGGGCGCGGTGCTGACACAGTCTGCCCTGCTTCCCGTCTGCACGGCCTGCAGAGGCTACCTCCGTGGGAGGCCAGTCTTAGGAGGACACAGCCATCCTCAGGCGGCCAGGCCTGTTTTCGAGCTTCTGCGGATGGTGTGGGGTGCTGCGGAGGCTTCACCGAGGGCCCCTTGGTTTATGTTCCACTGTGTTGATACTCAATTAAACATCTACTCACTTCCAGTTTGCAGTCTCCTGCTCATATCCTGGAGGGAATCCTTATTTTTCACAACCCATAGTTTTGTGTTCCCAGAGCCAAGGGTCAGGGAGACGCTGGGTGGAGCCAGGCTGCGTCAGGGTGATGGGCTGACAGATGGCCTCCCTCCCTAGCTGCCTGCCGCCTTTCCCAGGCTAAGTCCTGCCGGCCGCCTCATCCAAACATCCCCAGGGATGCCACCTCGGCAGAAAAATGATGCTGTTCCATTAACATCTGACACGGATTTGCAGGCCCCAAACAGAGGAGCGTGCATGTAAACACCCGGCCTGGTTGGGCCCTCGCCCGGCTCAGAGCGGATCTTCATAATTAATTGTCCGCCTGGGCTGCTGGCCTGGCCCTCACTCCAACCCCTGATATTTCAAGGTTGCAGTCTCTCATTACCCTCTTGCAAACTGTGTTTGCCCAACGGCGGATGTGCTGGCCTGCAGAGAGGGCAGGGCAAGGCTGGACACTGAGAGCTTCAGCATCCTCATTGTGAGATGGCACAGTCACCCCTCCCAGGGGGTGGTGAAACTAGGCCCATATCACTTGGGTGGACCGGGCACCCCTACATTCATCAGTTAACTCAGGTTTCCAGGTGCCAGATAGCAGGTGCTGACAGGCCGTGGTCCCCACAGAGCAGAGGGGACGTGCATCCATATAAGCCCCACTCAGTTTAACTAACTTAGTGAGTGTGCCAGGCCCCACCAGAGTTGCTACAATGTACGTCTTGTTGCTTTGAATAAGGAAGTTTTTTTTTTTTTTAAATCCTGTTCTGGAATGTTCTAGAATGTTGTGTAGCGCAATCACTCTTGTGTATGTGTACATCAATAAAACCTCTTCTGCTTATTTTTCACATTTTGTAGACGAGGCATTGTCAGTCTCGCACTCACGTTTCCTCCCTCTGGGGCTCATGAAAACTGTGTGATATTGCCTATCGTGGACCATTAGGGTTCTTGCTGCTCTGAACCCTGGCAGGGACAACACCCTCCTGAGCTGTGACATGGGGACAGTCATCTTGAGGGTGCTGATGGTTCAAGACAGATGCTCCTGGGATCAATAGCTGCTTGAAAAGTCACTTTCCCACTTTTAGATCTGAAGAAAAGTTTTCTCTTTTTTTTTTCCACTTTTAACCACCGAGTTCTGAGCCTGCGTGATGCTGTAACTCAAGGTGTAGAACCTGGCTGGGTTTTGCCTGTTTATATCCCAGTGCGTATGGGATGGAGGATAATGAAAGTTGGCTGCTGCTGCTTCGTCAGATCTCAGAAACCTTCTGTCCTTCCAGGGAATCCTTATACCATCCCTTCCTCATTGGGCCTTTACATGGGTAACACCTTTCCTGGAACTCCTACACCACCTTTAATTTTTATTTAACCTTAATTTCCTGTTCACCTGGTCACTTTAGTTTCCTGTTCACTTGGTCATTCTCTTGCTCAACTGCCTTCCATGTCTACCCTCTACCTACCTAAGGACTCTCACACTTCTAGACATGGCAGAAAATCAATGAATCCCAAAGTCAGTTCTTTGAAAAGGTCAATAACATGGACAAGCTTCAAGATAGACAGACTAAGAAAAAAGTGGGGAAGACACAAATTTCCAGTATCACAAATGGAATAGTGAACATTGCTATGCAGTTGTTCAAAGAATAACAGAGGAATGTGATGTTATCAATTTTGGTAACTTAGATGATAAAATTCTTTAAAAGACATAAATAACCAAAACAGATATAAAAAGAAATATAAAATCTAATTAATTCCCCCTATATAAAAAATTGAATTTATAATTAAAATTTCT